TGTGTACAAAATCATGACTTGATACGAAGTGTGAATAGCTCTAATGGAAGAGCTAGCAAAAGCAGGCTTCTCAAACCGTGACTGCTTTGCCACCACTGAGTTCAGTCCATCACAAAGATCAAAATCGTCTATGAAATTAAAATAGACTTGTAAGGTGTGGTTTGGATTTGGATTACATAGTTAAGCAAATGAAAATTGACAAAAAAAATGACATTCTTTTTTTGTTGACCTTGCCTTTGATTTTGATTCCATAAGCAAGATGGAGAAACTTTATATAACCTCAAACTTTATATGACCACATTTTGATCCCATAAGGAAGAGAAACTAATAGTGTCATTAGGAAGCTCTTCTGAGAGCGGCTCCGTAAGTTATTTCCTCTTGATGCATCTAACTTCATAATATTCACAACAAAAAATCACAGTCACGCTTGTGAAATTTGGATCCATCTCTTGAAGTAAAGTGACACAAACTCTGTTTCTTACTTCGATCCATCATTGTACTTGTACAACTTCGCAAAAACCAGTTCCCTTGTGACATTTGGTACATCCCCAACTCTGCAGTTCATTTCCAAAAGTTGCCGACTTTGGTTAGTAAACAACAACTTATAATAAACATAAACCTGAATGGATGATAAGATGTAACTTTCAAGCAACAGTTAATAATGAAACTAATTTAAAAGGAATCATCCATCTGTGTTTCACCTATTCAAAGGGCCTAAACATAACTTTTAAGCAACATCCTAAAAAGCATAACAAAAGGAAAAAAGAAGAGTTTGCAGAATTGCAGCTTTAAAAACGACATCACTAAACACTGAAAAAATGAAAACAACATGAATAAGGTATTTAACCATAACCATAGTTTATTTTGGAGAAAATCCATAACCATACTCAACATCATATTACTCTCCCAATTGAATGGTGCCAACTATAGAATCAGTCACCAAAAAGTACAAATATGGAGTAAAAAGGTTATTCTGGACATGGAAGAGTAATTATCCCCCTTTTATCATGGAACCACTACTGCTATTTAAGCTAAAAAGGTAGCATGAGTTGAGTTGCTCACCAGCATGCATATGAACAGGGAAACGCCAAATATAAGAACCAACTCATTCCGAACCAATAACTCAACGCAATGAAACTTAGTTTTGAATTAAACCACTACTTTGATGGCAAAAGAAACATATTAATGTGCATTTGTTTCATGTTATCTATTTCTAACATGGTTCAATTAACGTATCGTTCATGTTCCTATTAATTTCATAGAACCGATAGCATCTTTCATGCAAATAAGAAACATCTAATTTGAGTTCTAGTTTGAAGCTAGATCATAAAACTGACATTAATAAACACAAGTAGTTGTAGGCCTAAAAGAGGAAGAAGTTGTATGGCAGCGACAATAAGAAGCGAAACGAACACTGGAAATGTAAAACCCCGAGAACAACGATGGGACAACAGCACAAACAACACATACGTTACTGACAAAATCAATGGAGACATGAGGATCTAGTGCAGAAGAACATAAGGTAGGACGGAAGACTGTGTAGAGAAACAATAGGAAGGAGAAGAACAAATTAAAGCACAAGCTATTTAAATCCAAGATTAATAAAAAAAATATACCATTATATGGATTACCTCCTTGACCTGCTCTTACTTCTAGTTCTGCTCATAACACCAACTGCAACTCCCCTGCAGCAGTAGAGGAACAACACACATAATGTTGCTTAATTTCTATAATAGTATCCTATTTTTAGAATGAACCAACTAATAATTCTTTCATACTCATAATGACCACCAAAAATCAGAACAATGGAAGAAATGTAGGGGAAAACATCTCAGTAATGCATAGAATTTCCATATTCTTAATTTCCACATCTTACAACTAACTCACACAGTAGCAGCCCTGGGTTTTTCTGAGGTAATGAAATTATGGAGGAGAAACCTAAGCATCCATCTAGAGAGTAGAGAACTCTAAAAGCCAACCGGTTTAATTGGGGGCCTTACATTCCAGGAATGGGAAGACCGATGGATTCTAATGGCGGAAGCATTGATGGTGCTGAAATGGTTGGCCCTGAACTCAGAACATTATGCAAATCTTAAGGCTAACATGTATCGAAACTCTAAGCACAAATCCTCTTTTTTCACAATCTCATACAACCAACCAGAGGCAATGACCCAGTATACTAAAGGAATTCTTATGATCTGCATTAGACTTGCTACTGGAGAAAAAACTACCTACATTCTAACCCAGCTCTCCCCACAATCCGCAAGACCAGAACTTATTATCAAGAAATGGGAACTACTTGTCTAATTACACATATCCAACAAAATGAGATCCTAATAAGAGGTCTGCTGTAGTCTTACAGCCAATCTGGAATTACTAACTTATACGAATCAAACACCAGTGAACAAATATTAATAAGAGGTCCATCAAAAAATTTCTTGTTCATATGAATTCAGCAACGTAACCACAAACAACTTAACGCACAAAGAATGCTTATTTCTTTTAGTAGTCATGGGATTAGTGCTTCCTGACTACTAAAAGTGTTGTATTAGACCTCAATACAAAGAAACCAAAGACAACAAAAGGCATAACACAGGGATGGACACTAAAAGCGTTTTAACCCAAGGAAAAAACAAAGGAATGCATATAAACCATAAAGAAAAGTACGAAAATTCAAGCAATTACTTTGACAAATAAGGAATGCGAGGTAAGTGATTCTAAAATGCATGCAAAAATCCCTATTAACAACCTGATATAACCTACCAATTCAAAACTTAAATACTTGGGGATATGAGCCTGGCAAAGTGAATCGCTGGTTTGACGAATCTTCCTTCCTATTAACGACCCGCCCCAAGACAGAAACTACTAAAATCAACCCTCCTGTGTGCTCGCTAGAGTGAATGATAATGGTAGATTGCAAAATAACAGCTCAGAGAAGTGTCCTATGCGCATGAAACCCCAACTCCCCCTTCTTCTTAAGTAATGGGGAAAAATCAACATACCTCAACATAATATATGGGCAAGGAAAGCCGCCAGTTCAATTCCAGAATGTTGTAATGCCTCGGACCTTTCTTTAAGGACGGAGAGATCAGTGACTTTGTTGACTGGGAAAAGCTTGTATAGTTGGTCCAGAATCCATGAAACTGCAAACCAGAGCTCGCAAGGTACTGACATCACTCATAGCCACATCACATGGCGGTTTGGTTTTCGGATCCTCGATGTGATGAACAACCTGAGTGCTTCCAGGCTGAACACAATGAGAGCAGCCTGCAATGATAAATAGGAAAAATAGATTGCCACATTCATTGAAATACATAAAGCAAAGAGAGAAAAGGAGCTAAAAAACATCATAATTGAAATACTGAAGCCCCAATTTCGACAGTTAGCAACCTGAATCACAATTTAGGTTGAGAGAGAGTAAATCGAGGATACTTGTCACGACTGGAAATTACATCAGAAACATAGACTGTTCTGCTCAAATCCATTAGCTTCGCGGCCAACGCCATACCCATCTTTAGGCCACACAGCGTTACCATACCCATAAGTTCCATTGGTCTCCAACAACCACCTGGTGCGCTTAAACTCAGAGGGTGGCTCATTCGCTTAATAGACTTCACCAATGGAAGTCTTGTGTCCAATTTGGACAGAGATAGAGCTTGATCTTCCTCCTCGTCTTCTCCGTGGCATTAGTAATCGTTCTACTCATCCGCCTCCTCATAATTGTCAAGACCCTTGTGGGCTCTTTACACCCAAGACAATTCCCGCCTCCATTAGAACCCACGCAGCCCAAGTAACAGTCTTGACAAATCTTGAACCCACACTCGCACTTCCCTTTGGTTATGGCCTTCTCATCGTATCCCCTCATCCAGCAGACCTACGCAGATTTCGAAGTGGTCAGAGGTGAAATATATTGACATTAAAATTGATACATCTGTCAATGGAAAACACGAACCCAGAGAAACATAAAAGCAAAGAATAACTTACCACAGTGAAGTGATGAACCGTTCGCCAATTAGACCGGAATCGCGGGCAGTCGGTGCGTCGGAGGTGTGAAGGTCACTCACTAAGACTGGCGTAAATTAGATGGGAATCGTCGGCGGTGGGTGTGTCAAAGGAGCGGGCCAATAGGAATGAACTTGCTTCGACGTCTTCCACCTCTCGCTAACACTCTCAATCATGGGCATTTTGTTACCACGGATAGGGAGAGAGAGTGAGATCGAGAAAAAGTGGGAGAGATTCGAAAAAATCAAAAGCATCAAGGGCATACATAGGAAGGAAAACCCACCAGCAAAACTGAAAAATCACGATTTTCCCCGAAAGGGGTTCCTGAGCGCCACCGGCAATGTGGCTGTGCTGTTAAAGAATACAGGAGTCGATGAATGTGAGGAGTATGTTCTTCGACAGAGAGGAGCGGAGCCAAGGAATTGGGGTGGTGATTCGTAGAGATGGATTGTCCGGAACGGAGGGAGAGAAAGAGATTTGTTGTGGGAAGAAAGAAAGGAAAAGGGAGGACTATTGCGGTTCCACGAAGGGAAGTGGAAAACCCCGCCTAAATGTCCAGGCCACGTCAGCTCCGCAAATCACTCTGAGAACACAGAATTTTGAATGGTGGATGCAGTTTTACTTTTCCACTATAAATGATACTGTAGATACAATGAATATTCGGTGGACCCTTCCGCACACGAGCGTTTGATTTAGTCCAACGAGCTCCCAGCCAATCAGAGGACTACATTTTGTAGGTTAATTAAAATGATAATGATTTTCTGACCAAATAATTATTTATTATATTAATTAAAATCCTCCCTCCACCTGGTGCAACAGAAAAGTATCTACTCGTAGGAAAGGCTGGTGCCTGCCTTGCCTGCAGAGAGCTCTTTACTTCTTCTCTCAGCTCCCCATCTCTGCGCGGCGCTTCCTCCCTCCCTCCCTCTTTTCACTTTCTCTCTCTCATACCGCCATTTTCAGTCTAGTATAAAAGTTGTGATTTTGTTCGCCTTTGTTCACAAAAAAAGATAAAATGAAAATAAAATGGCAGCGCTGGTTTGGGTTTGGTAGTTTTGATGGCTCAACCTTTTGCGCTCTCTCACTCTCTCTCTAAACTCCCCCCCGTAGATATCTCGTGACATTTGACGATATGGGCCTTCCTTCACTCGATCTGGGGGGAGATCTCCTCTCCTCTCCTATTCGCATTATGCCTCTCTCCCTCTCTTATCTTCCTCCCACAGCGCCACCCAGTCCTCAAATGTAGAGTGACCCATTTTTGGCTAGCTCCATTTTTGGCAGCCGAATGTTGGTTTGTCTTTTTTTTTTTCGTTCGTTTATTTTCCCCCCAAAAATTCCCTCTCTGTAATTTTTGGGTTGATCGAGGGACCGCCGTCTCCAGCTCTGTTTCCGTTTTTGATCTGTCTCCATCTTTTTGCATTCCTTTCGATTGCGGCTTGCTGTTTTAGTCTTTTAGCTCTCTGCAACTCATAGTTCCGTTTAGTTCACCGGTGGGGGAAGGAAATCCCAGGCAGGCCAGTATTTCTCTGTCGTGTATTGAAGGTAATTTGGAGCAATTCTTCTCACTCTCAAGTTCTAATCTTACTCCACGTCTTGCTTTCAGCTCAGTTTGCAGCAGTTCAGCTTAATCTCGTTCCCGGTTAGTTTTAGTTTCTGCAATGGAGCAAGGAAAGCCGCATTGAACTCTCTGTATCGATTTGAAAGCTATATAGTCCGTCCGTTCGTAAAATCTGTTGTTGCATGTGTGTGATGATTGCTCGATTACGCGCTTGCTTCCGTGTTCTAGCAATTTCGAGCGTGAATTGAGCTCGGATTGCCGTGTTTTTAGCTCCGGCAATGGCCGCGGCTTGAATGTCTTGTCAGTTTTACATGAATGTCGGTTTTCTGACTCGTTCACGGACTCAGGCTTGCATCATGCCGAATGGGGGTGAGGAAAAGCGAAAGACAAAGACTCGTCGAGAGTCGTCGGGGGATGAAGACGGGAATATTGCGGGGAAATGTGATGCAGCCAGTGCTTTAAAGAAGGGGCCATGGACTTCTGCGGAAGATGCAATTCTGATGGAGTATGTTACAACTCACGGAGAAGGCAACTGGAATGCAGTCCAGAGGCACTCTGGATTGTCGAGGTGTGGGAAAAGCTGCAGGCTCCGCTGGGCGAATCATCTAAGGCCCGATTTGAAGAAAGGCGCATTTTCTCCAGAGGAAGAGGGGCTTATTATCGAGCTTCATGCCAAGATGGGCAACAAATGGGCTCGCATGGCTGCCGAGGTAGGTAGATCTTCTTCTCTCACTGCACTTCACTGTTGTCGATTGGACTTGAATGGATGGGGAAATTGCATTGTGGTTCCTTACGACTTCCATCCAAACTAGATGAAGGTGTCATTTCGTTTGAATAACTATATGCCAAATTGAACTATCAGTTCCATTATTGTTTTTTTTTTTTTTTTGTCATCCTCATTCACACCTTACAATTGGCCGCATTGTTGTTGAAGCTGAGTAAATTCTTCCCAATTTGGTAAGAGTTCAATCTTTGTTGTCTTCATTAACCATGAGTGGGAAAGGGAGATGGCATGTTGCTTGACATGTAATGCAACAATCTTACTACTGGAAATCGCAATCAGGGTTATGATACTGATCACTAGGCCTGACTGCTGATCAACATCAATCTTATCAGTCAGACACCATGCTTTGCCGAAGTGAAAACTTCTAAAACCGTACTCTGGCTATAACCGTTTTGAGGTTCTGGAATTGGTTTAAATTACAAACTAGTATCAGGCTTCTCCTCCAGTTCTCTATTTGGTTTCTCTTCCTGTCCTTCATGCCTTTTTCTGAAATCTGGGTTCCTGCTCGCTGTAAGACTGATGCAACAAAGCAGTCTAAGAGACCTGATGCTTTGGTCTCCACATCCTTCAAGCGTTATCATTAGACGACCATCATATGGTAGCTTTCGTTTTATACTCACACGTTGAGTAACCTATTTGTCCTCCATAACTTTTTTCCTCGCCTTCTAGATTAAGTTGACAATGGAGTATATTAATAAATTTTCTCTGCAGAAATTAGCCACTTCACTCATATTTTAAATTAAAGACTAACCTGAACATGTGGTCAAAACAATTGTCCTAATGTGCTGTGTGTGTCTGCTGCCATATGTTAAACTTATGAGTTTATTCCTCTATAGTATACTTGAATTGTGCTAATGTGATATGCTAACCTCAAGGAACTTGTTATTTTCATATTCCTGGATGGATATGTGATATTTCTGCAGAACTCGTTGGATTTCTGGGGAAGCTGATGTGTGGCATGCAAAGTTCAAAACAATATTTTGTTTTCTAAATGGTGTATTGATCCTGTATATAGACCTGTCCAAAATAAGTAATGTACTGGTTTGTGGGCAATTAGCTTATTGTATGAGCTATGCCATGCTAGGTCTAATCTGCTGCAAAAGCATGTTGGTAATCTGGAGTAAATAACTGATGCGGTGATTACTTCAATGGCATTCTGCTTTAGAATAATTTAACTTTTGCATTTCCTGAGGCTGACTTTCTTTTTTCCGCAGTTGCCTGGACGAACAGATAACGAGATAAAAAATTACTGGAACACAAGAATCAAAAGACTGCTACGTGCTGGACTCCCTATCTATCCTCCTGATGTATGCTCGAAAGTTCTTGAAGGAAATTATGAAACTCAATGCATGGATAGAAATGAGACAACTGGTGGCGACCCAGTGCAGAAGGATCACAGAGAGATCCCAGAACTGGTCTTCAAAAATTTCAAAATCAACCGGGGAGTTCTCTCTTATCTGCCAAACCTTCTCGATGTCCCAGGAAGCAACATTCTGAAACAAGATGGTTTTGGTTCAAGCAATAACTATGGCTTCATGCTCCCAACACTACCACCTCCAAAGAGAATCAGAACTGCTACAGAAGACAGCATTTTCCGTGATGTAGTAGATGTTGGTGGTGTCATTGGCCTCCCAACACCTTTCAGTCAGCTTACTACAGATTATGCTGCTAGTGAGAGGACCCCAGACCCGTTTGGTTTATCCTCTCCATATGATTCTTCTGATGTCAATTTTACTAGTTATGATGGGCAGCCACCATTGGCTGCTCTTTCAGGCAGTCATGCCTTCTTAAATGACGACTCTTCTTCTTCTGAGCCCATATCCGGGGCGATGAAGTTGGAGCTCCCTTCACTCCAATATACAGATACTCATCAGCTGGACAGCTGGGCGGCGATGACCCCAACTGCTTCCCCTTTGCTTCCAGTTGAGTCTGTTGATACCAATACTTTGATCCAATCTCCTCCACCGATGACAGAGCCACCTCAGTCACTGGGTTGTCTCTCGCCAAGAAGCAGTGGTCTCCTGGAAGCAGTACTCTACGAATCACTGACCCTCACAAACATGAACTGCTCAGCGAACGACCAAGCTTCCGTGGCTGTTTCTATGGAACACCAATTGCCCTATAATTCCAGGAAGAGAGATTGGGGAATGCAAGCTGACCCAATCTCACCATTGGGTCATTCTGCTGCATCAGTGTTCAGCGTATGCACGCCCATGAGTGGAAGCTCGTCCGACGAACCAGGTAAAAGCCAACCTTTATTGTTTATTAATTGATGAGACACATCATTACTATTTGACTATACAGTAATATTTGTTCCCCCCTTGCACTAGAACATCAACCATTTACTACTACACATCGGATGCAGGGTGTGAAATGAAGCAGGAGATGGGGAGCCAAGTATCATCCCCGTATGGGGAGGAGAAGCAAACTCCTGCTGGTACAGACTGCATGCAAATCGAGTTCAGCAGGCCAGATGTGTTACTTGGCTCAGGCAGCTATTTCGGGTTAAGCTATGGTGGTTGCCTCGAAAAGGGTGAACCAACTGCTACTACTCAAACTGATGCAGCAGGGGGCGGTTGAAGCCTGAAGTTAGTAACAAAAGAACATGAGCCAAGCAAGAGAAACAGTAGCAAACCAGGGTGCAAACAACGTGTGAATGGATCAAGAATAAGATTGTTTGTTTATCCTTGTTTGTTGGATTACATTTTCGAGCTTTTAGTTGTTAGCTGGGAGAGTGTTTTGTTTTGGTTTCCATCTGTGAATACCGAGTTGTTCTGTGAGCCATGCATGTTATGAGGAAAACTTTCCAGTGGGATGGATAGTCTTTTGCAGGATAGTGAGATAGATGTTGTCTCCAGTGGCATGGATGCTTTTGGCTGATATCCCATTTTCATCGTCATCCTGGAAGTACAACTGTCCATTTTGCCTTTTTTCCTTTTCAAGTTACTGAAACAAAACAAGAGTATCATATCCAAAAGGACCTTGTCTGTTTTACCCTTTATTATCTACCTTAACTATTAGCCATTAGGGCAACCTTCCCACAGAGAGTACTTTGAACAGGATTTACCGTGAAATAAAAGATTGTGGTGATTGGAAGAGAACTTTCTATTTTCAGTAATACGTGGATTTGGGTGGGTTTGGAACCACCCATTACGCGGTGGGTGAAGGAAGAAATAACCTACACCCACCCAATCATTACTTGCAGGTGGGCTGGGTTGGGTAATTGCGGATGATAGATGGATGGTTGAGTGGATTCGATGGGTTTACAACATATATTCCATATGTCACATAATTTCAATAGTTTTTTAAATTTAAAATGAAAGAAACGTTCAGATTTATTAACTCTTAATCCATAAATCAGGTGAATAATTTATTTTACAATACTGGTATTGGTAATTGTCCGCAAATTACAAATATTCAACTGATAAACATGGTCTAAGCTCAAGAATAACCAAGGTTGAAAAAGGTACTAAGCATAAGCAAAAGTTTTGTTTTTGCCTAGCGCCTCATTCGCCTAGGTGTTGTGAGCAAAGATAGCTTTTTAACCTATAGTTGCAAATTACAATTCCAAATTGATGGAAGGATTGAAGGACAAATCAGTGGTAGTTTGAGATGGCGTCGCCTTGGGGAAGACAACTGTATTCTTTCTGCCATTTGTCTACTAGTTATGCTTAAGCGTATCTCCAATTTCCTAAACACACCTCACAACACAATTCTTTAATCGAAATTGAGAGAAATTTTTGTGATTTTAAGGGTTTCATTTTTGGTAAAGCTATATGTTAGAGCTTCTATTGTGTGAGGTTAAGAAGTTGGGTGGGTCGTGGATCAATCACAATCCACGCGCACCCATCCAATCTTTTATGGGTCACCTATTTTACAATCACACTCACCCATAGAAACCACCCACAAGATAATGGGTGGGTCGATTGCGGGTGGATTTGTGGGTTAACCACCCAATGCTTACCCCTAGTAATGAGGTTCACTGGCGCTAATTATATAGGAGTTAGCAACATACTAACTACTCTAATCATCATTGATTGATTTTAAATTAAATATTACAGATAAATAATGAAGGTCTCATTCGGTATTTTAGAAACTTAATAAATTAATAAAATTTCTCTTTCGTCTATCGTTGTTGCCTCTCTCTAGTAGTGAGTGTTTCTACGTGTAGGGGTGTTCAAACGGTTTGGTCACCACGGTAACCATATTAACCGGTAACATTCTGTTAATTTGGTTTGGTTAATTTTGAATATTGGTTTGGTTTGGTTAAACAAGTTAGCTTATTTGGTTTAGGTGGTATGGTTTGGTTTCATTACTGCTAACCAATGAAACCAATTAACCAATTAATGACACACCTAATATACAAAATTATTTATACTTCCATGCAACCAACCAAACCAAACTTTGGTGATTCCCTATTTTATTTCAATGTGCACAACAAACCAAAACATTATCGATCAAAAATTAAATGGGCATGCCTATATTTACTAAACCAAAACATTTTAGAAAGCTACTATACTTTAGGATTACGTACAATACCATGAAAGCCACCTCAAACTATGTATAGTTTAAGTGTTTTGTAGGAGAGCTTAACTTCCTGATGAGTGGTTTGGTATGTATTTATGTTAAGGCTACCTATATTAGGTGCAGAGATGATGAATGATGTATTAACTAGAATGATGATGATAATTATAGATGGTTAGTCTTATTATTATCACTACAAGAAAATCTAGTTATAGAGACAGATAATTAGAGACAATTACTGTATTAGTCTCTGTAGCTATGCTTTAGAGACAAAAAATATTATTTGTCTTAGTAGATGAAATTATTTGTCTCTGTTTCATAATATTCTCCCATAATTTATATATAAAACAAATTAAAATAATAGGTTTATAGGTATTTATTCTATTTGTGCCTATATAATATATAAACCATACATATAGAGACACATTTAATTGCTTTTAGAAACAAATGTAAATGTTACTTATAATACGTCATATGACAAATCTAATAGTTTTTAAAAATAAATACCAATATCACGTATCTCTATATTATATAGAGACAAATCTAATAATCTTTAGAGACAAATATAAATTTCATTTATAATAAGTCATATATAGGTATGCCAAAAGAACCGGGCATGAAAAAATGGCTCCATAATCATAATTTAAATACTAGGGTTCACTATGGGGAAAAGAGCTATACGCCAGCGATGGGGAGGCGGAAGGCCCGCTACTGAAAAAAAAACAATAATTACGGAACAAACAGTGGGCGGGATTTTTTAAACAAAATTTGGGCGGGATTTGCGAATAAAGAGGCGTCTTTTTTTCGGTTTCCCCTGTTTTGGGTTTTGAATTAATTTTCACCTTCCAATTTTAGTATTTTTCCTCCGTCCCTTCTTCTCATTCTAAAGGAAAGCTCCCTAAAAATCCAAATCATATCAGAACCCCAAATCATCTTCGATGGATCCAGAGTCCAAACTTCACTCAATTCGCCGCCAGAGATCCCACCCATTCGCTCAGCACCTCCTACTCGCTCGTCGACCGGACCTACCCCTCAATCTACGGCGACGAACCTCTGTTAGTCTAACCTCCCACCCACTCAATTAGTTCTGATCTTCCTCTCAATCAACGGCGACGATCCTCTCTATGATTAATTCATGTAAGTTAAACGAGGTTTGTAAGGAGTTTGGGAGAAGAGCTGCTAGGCTCCGTTGCTTTCTCTTAAATATAGAAGCTAAGACCTGCGATTTGGGGTCATTGGTCCCTTTCCATCTAACATGCCATTGCTTCTGCCATATGAATTTATAATGGCTGAAATTATGTTAGTATGCTTGGATATTACCAAATTCATTTTCTGATTTCTTTCTCCTTGATTGTTTTATTGAAGGTAACAGTGGGGTTGGATTTTGAAGTGGTATGTGGGATGAGAGTTATGAAAGGTTTTTGCTGCAAGAGAACCAAACGACAGGTAGAGGGGCTAATGGTAAGTTTATGTAGATTCGTCATTTTCTCTCATGGTTGCTCATTAGATCCATCTCATTGTTGATTTTGCAGATTCCACAGACACTGCTGATATATTGTTGAAGACTGATGCCACTTTGATGCAAGTTTTGGAGCTGAATAGAGGCAGTATTAATTGAATCAACCAAAGACCGCGAACGTTCTTTTAGTCATTTGTATATAATTTGTCTAGTAGTATTTATATTTGGATTTACTTTCAACCTCTTTGTTTTACTCTAATAGAATATTATTGTTACAAAAGTATGTATTGGGTAACCGTTTATTATACAAACATATAAGTCTTATTTATCTATATATATTTGTTCTTTGTGTCCGTAAATTATATTTGAAGAAAAAATATAGAGATAGAAAAAGGACATCAGCAACAATCACAAAAGAATCATATAAAAAACAATATTATATGTTTTCAGAAATCATATTTGAGGTAAAAGTATTTGTCTCTAAAGATCTATCTGTCGCTGCAACTAATTTTAGTGACAAAATTATCCACCTCTAAAAATCATTTTAGATTCAAATTTTTGTGTCTCTAAAGCTGGACATGGAAACAAACATAATAGTTTCCAAAACTAATTTTAGAGGCTAAAATATTTGTTACCGTATCTCTAATCCGAAACAAATAATATATGTCTCCAATTTTGTCTCTAAAAGGGTATAGTGACGGCACTACTTGAGACATATGTATTATATGTCTCTAAAGAATTATAGAGACAAATAAATGCATTGTAGAGACAATTTTTCTCTGTCTCTATAGCTCATTTTTCTTGTAGTGTATTGCTTATATAAAATGATAGTTTATATTTGTTTTCATGTAATGTTACTCGCTAAAACACAACTCCTAACAAAGGCCAAGTGTAACCAATGAAAGGGACTGCAGTATAGTGGCTCAAGTAATAAATATCGAATCCACGGGTCTCTAGAGTTACTATTACTCAGCTTCAGTTCATTATCTAGCAAACCAGATTAAGATGAAAGAACTAAAACTACTATAACAAACTACAGTTAAGGTTAATCGAATTACAGGTTGGGAACTCACTTAGGTATGATTCCCCCTAGCCACTAGCCAGATTAACGATTGATGATTTCTAACTTGTTTCACTTTCATTCACAATGCGGAGAATCCTTAACTAGACCTTGAGTCTCGACTAAAGGAACAAGGCCCTCTTGAGTCAATTGCCTAGAGGGACGTATCCTTCTCTAGAACAACCGATCAAGGCGTTCTAAACTAGATTCCCTCTATCGAATGAGGTTCTCAATCGATACAAAGCAGTGAATCAACCCTCGACTAAAGCAATCGATCCACTACTATCAATCTATGGTGCTCTATTGACCTAATCAGGTATTCGCTCTCATAGGATCAAAGCAGAATCAATAATCTCGACTAAAGCAGAATCGAATCATGAAAACATGCATAGATTGAATATGAACTCAAGATTATCAAGTAAGAGTACTCATACAATCATCCAATCAAACAAACATAGCTAGGATTCCTCAAAACCTAAGTGATGATAAGTTACTCCATAGAGAAGAGAGAGACTGCAGTAAGAATCTCCAGATGATCAGTCTTCAAGTCCGGGCTTGTTCCTCGAGCTTCAAAAGTGAAGAAATCCTCCAGTTCCACTCCAAGAATTCCCTCAAATTGCCCTCTCTCTCTTTGGTTTGTCCCTTGGGTGTTTGGGATCCAAAACCCAGCTCTCCCTTTCCTTTGGTTTCAATCTGCCTAAAAAACGCGATTCTGGGCAAAACAAGGTCGAGGACACGGCCGTGTTTTACTTTTGCCCGCCCGTGTTTTGCCCCCAGCAGCCCTCGTCAGCCAAAACACGGTCGTGCCTAAATATGGACACGGCCGTGTTTTTCTTTAGGCCAGCCCGTGTTTTTACTGCCGAACCTGTCCCCCTATATTCAATGCTTCGTTTCTCCCTCGTCCGGACTCCGAATCAGTCGCCGTTTGATCCCAGACGCTCGTAGTCTCGTCCTATTTCTTTTAATGACAAGCTTGCATGATTATTCGTCCATAAAGTGAGGTAGAAATTCATTATTCTTCAGGTCATGCCCGAGTTTCTTCTCCCTAA